AAAAAAAAAACAACAAAAACAAAAAACAAAAAAAACAACAACAACAGCTATAGGGAAGCACTTTCAAATTAAGCCTTACATTTTAACCTTTTAAAAGATAAAAACAACCTTTAAAAAAGTTAAAGCAGTTTTCAAAAAAACTTTGTATTGTTGTAGCTATGCTTATAATTATAGTTTATAGGTTCTTTTAAATAACTTGTTAGGGTTTTTGAAAAGATATATTTATTAGTTAATTCAAATAATTAAAATTGATATATATATATAGTTCTTAAGTTGTTGAGTAACATATACAAGAATTAGTTGTTTCTAACAACTAAACCAAATTATATAGTCTCTATTTGTTATAGTATTAACTTTTCTATAATAGAAAATCTCTTAAGAAACTCACTAAAACAGACACTTATTAGGTTTAATTGCTTCCAAATTTTGTTACGCGAATAATGTGACTCTTCATCTTTACAGTACCAAATTCGTGGTTAATATGTGAAAACACAAAATTTTTTATAAACATGTTATAACTGTCTTTCCCCCCTCTTTTTTATTTTTTATTTTTTTTATTAACAGTTTGATTGTTTTATGTTGACTTTTATATATTGATTCAATACTATCATCTTATAGAGCAATTTTAAGAACGTTATATTAGTTTGATGTATTTAAAAGAGTTGATTTTTTTATGTAACGGATTTATTGGTTTTAAAATTTAAATATTATATTTGATTTATAAGATGAAAAGTTCTTATTAATAAATTTAACTCTTATAATTTGTTTTTTAATTTTTATTTTTTGATAAGGGCAATGATTAGAGATTAATATGTTAGAGGTGTTAACGGTGGTATTGAACCTGAGACTTGAGAGTGTAAATCATGGGCTACCCTTTGGAGTAGCAAGTGACCACTGAGGCACGGCACGTAGAATGCAACTTTTATAATGTGTTTGATTTAAAAGGATCGTAGAAATTTTTTTATTTAAATAATGAGTTTTTTAATTTATACCTTAAGGATATAAGTTAATAATGTATTTATTGTATTTTTTTATAATTAATTTGTATAAAAAAATAAATATGAACTTTAATTTAATCAATTAGTCAATTAAAACTATTTATGTGATAATAATATTAAAATAAAAATTAATTTTTATAATTTTTTATATAAATTAATTATAAATATATATTTTTTAGACAAACCCTTAAATAATAAACATGAGAGAGGAGGAGAGATGCTTTCTTTTTCTTTTTCTTTTTGATTTGCATTTCTGTATATCATATCTAAGGGAAGGAAGGCGAGGAGAGAGGAGGAAAATGAAAGGATTTCCGTCCTCTCCATTTCATATCCCTAAAATCAAACTGAGGATTGGGGTTATGTTATTATCGTCCTCCACGAAATTAAAGAAAAAATTGAAACGTTTGTGCGCAGCACGTATCCTGTTTAAGATAAAGTTGTGAAATGCTTTGCAATTTGCAGTGGAATATGTTCTGCATAGATTAGGTAGCCATGTTTCAAAACATCCCAAATCCAATGTTTAATTGATAATTCTAAAATCAGAGATCTGAGTTATTGTGTCAGAAAATGTTTGTAAAAAGTTTGTTTAGTGATGATTGTGTCAATTAGTAGTGTAAGTAGAGATGTGTGTGTGCGCTTTTTTAATGCCTCTAAGTTTATCTACCTTTTTATTGAGCATTTTTTAAGAGGAAATTAAAATGCTTTTATTTCAATACTACATCTAAATTTATAATTAATTTGTAAAAAGACTATAGAATAGTTTTCGTTTTTTGATACATTAGAAGGTTAATCACTTGACATTATAAGTATTTAAACCTCTTATCATAACTTTAAATTAAAATTTTTAAATTAATAAGTATTAATTCAATTAAATTTTTATTAGTTAAACTACTATAAAATGATTGAGAGGTAAAAGTGATGTTTTAATATTTAATTATTATTTTTTAATTTATAAAAATAATATAATTATAATATTATATAATATTATAACTACTTAAAGTGAGAACGAGGACAATTGGAAAAAAGGGTAATGACAACATGAGAGAAAATATTATTGTCTAGTAGTTCTCGAAAGGTTGTTGAAAGTAGTGGTGGTGGCGGTGCCTTGTTTGTACCATGATCCATGAAGATTTGCCTTCTTAGAGGACAATTACAATTTCATTCATGATAGGGTGTCTTAATAACCCAATGGTTGTATAGATAGGGAAGCAACCGTTCTTCATCATGAGCTGTCTTAATATGTTGATATGGAAGCATAAACTTAAAATTATTGATATTGACATACGAAAATAAGTTGGTTTATAAATATTTGATGGTCCAAACTCCTTAAAAAAATAAAATTATGAGAGCTCTTAATAACTAAAAATTGTACTAATGATTTATTGATTTAAGTGAAAGGACTTTAATTTTTTAAATAAAATATCGAATTCAAATATTGTGAATGAAGAAATAGGTGCTATCGGGAGGTTAATAAAAAAAAAAACTAAAAACTAAAAATTGTGTGTAACACAATATTAACTTTAAGAATATAAGGGTTTAGATCCATCTATATTAATTAATGATTTCATGACAATTCTTCCATGAGTTGGTAGGAGTTCACAAAGCCGCAACACTAGGTCTGAGCTTGCTTCCCATGCTGTTCTTTTGATTTTTTTTTTATTGGTAACAGTATTGGTTGATGTCTTGATGAACGAACAAAATTTTTTAGAAAGTGTTTAAATTAGTTATTTTAATATAATTGATAGTTGATAGTTAATATTTAATTATTAATAATTATTATTTATAATAAGAATAATTAAATTATTTGACTAAAATTAATAACTGGTAGTTATTCTCTAACCCCTAAAACAAATGGCTGGAAGCAGGAAAAAGATTTTTTTTTGCCATACTTCTCTTTTTGGCTGGCTGCTCACTTTGCCTCTGTCTCAAGTAATGTCCTAAAATCAATCATGCCCTTCTATCACGTTTTTTTTATTTTTTTTTAATATGTATATATTTTTATTTTTAAATATATTAATTAATAAAATCAAAATACCTCCCAACTGTTTTCTAATAATAATGGGTTCTCAATTGTTATGGACTAATCGGTTGAGCCACACCCAACTCATTAATAACAAAAATAATGCAAAAGCCCATTGGGTTGGAATCTAAACTTTTGGGCCCAAAAACTTCTTAATTTTATTGTACTCCGATTCTTAACTTCATCCCCTCCCTCGCTGTTTTCACAATCAGCTACACTTTCTTCCACCACAAATCTGACTTCCGTGAAATTTTTGCTCTGTTAATTAATCTCTTTAAACCCCCAATTCGACAATTCTGATGCAGTACTAACGCCAGGTTTGTACAAATTTCTCTTTCTCTAATTTTGTTACGGTCCATTAGCAAGGTGCATTGGATTCCTACATCCCAAGTTTGCGATTCTAGTGTGGGGTTTTTACGGATTTGGGCTCTCACACCTCAATAGGTAGTTTCTGAGGTGTGGTTCTCCCAAGGTTCGGGTCAGATTTGCTCTGCTTTCAATTCCATTACTTTATACTAGGGTTTGCTCTGGGTGCCCTAATCGATATGGATGCATCTTTCCCTCGTTAGTATTGATTGATTAGGTTTTCTTTGAATTTCCGGTGGGTTGTGTGGTATGAATCTGGAATTTGATTTATTTTACATTCCGGTGTTGGGACTTTGCTTTTAGGGGTTTGAATCTGGTTAGGTGGGTGATGGGTTCTTGTGTGCTTTGTAAAGTTATGGTCTTTCTGTCAAATTGTGCTAAAATTAGGTTTTGTGGAGGATGTTGGTGTATGAGCTGGGAGGATAGTTGAGATTGTTAAAGCAGACTAGGAGAATTATGTGAACTTGATAATTAATTTTAGTATTAAGGTTGTACAACCGAGCGCCCTTTGGGCGCTTATTCATAAAGAATGTCTGTGTGAACTAACAATATTTCCAGTTTAATTCATTTCCTGTAGCTGGAGCTGATCCCTAACCAAATCCTGAATTATTGTTGCCTGTTATTATTATCATTCCGGATGAAAGTATTAGAGTGAAACATTATGCAAATATGTGCCAGCATCCGAGTTTTCTAATACCGACACTTAACCCACAACCTTGGTAACACTGACAACCCATGACAAACATGCTACCATTTCTGCAACTCATCCTTCTTCCTGTTTGCTGTACCCGTTGTATGCTGTTTAACCATGTTAGTTACCGTTGCCTCATTCATTCACCTCTTGGCTGCTTTCCACTGAACTTCATTTATCTAGAAGTCTAGGACGGATGGTTGGTTGTCGACTTGGAGTTTATATCTCTCTGTGTAGAATCCTGGATGTGGCATTAGATGGGGGTGATGTTTGTTCTAGGAGATGCTTGAATTTTTAGATGGAATGTGGTTGAGGTAATGGGTAACTTACTGGTGCGAGTTAAGTGGTTTATAATTGATAAAAGATGGATCGCTTGTTGAATGTTATGTTCTTTTCTCTAGGAATTTGGTGTTTCAATTGGGATGGGATAATGAGGCTTTGGTTTGGTTCATGGATGATGATGGGTGTGTGGTTGTAATGTGGACAGGAAGGAAGCAGCGGCAGTTAGTGTGTTGGTGGTGGTGGTGGTGGTTTTGCCGATCTGTTGTGTGTGAGGTGTTGATAAGCATAAATTTGACCATGAGTTCAGACAGCAGGAGCCGAAGCAGGAGCAGGAGCAGAAGCCCACTGGATCGTAAGATCCGTTCTGATCGCTTTTCCTACCGTAATGCACCTTACCGGAGGGATTCACGTCGGGGTTTCAGGTTTTCTGGTTTTCAGTATTCTGTTATTTCTTCTCCCAGCTGGTCAATTGGCTGAAAATTAATTTAGGATTTATACTTAGTGTCTTGTATCTGGTAATTGTCCTATGATGCTGTTAGGATCTTAGTATAACATCTGACATGGTGATTTTCAAGTTATACAGTTGTTTGGATTTTGCTTGTGGTTCATGAAGAGCAGCATATATGTTGCTTGACTGTTTTGTTGCATGAAGTTCATGTTGGTTCTGGATTTGCTTTTTCTCAGTATGAGACTGAAAAATAAATGTGCAACATAGTATTGACTTTTGATGTTGTCAGCTGGATGATGACTAGAATCTGTGACTCCCTTTCATTTTATCATGTTGCTCTGTAGCCTTGGCTACTTTGTACTGCAACCTATGATGTCAGAATGCACTAAATAGTTACCTTGGCATCTTGGATGAAAATATGTGAAAAATTTTTTCTTGAACAGCTTAAATAAGAGTGCCCTGATATTCTCTGGAATATAACTGTGTTTCTCTTTTTTGTCAGCCAAAGCAATCTGTGTAAGAATTGCAAACGGCCAGGTCACTTTGCTAGAGAGTGCCCCAATGTTGGAATCTGTCATAATTGTGGCCTCCCTGGGTAAGGAGCCCTGTTGTTTTTCCCATGCATTAGCACAAATGCACATCATTTGTGGCATGCTAATTCACTTGGCATGGATGTGTTAATGAAAAGAATTTCATCCTTGTTATCTATTATATCTTGAATTTGTTTTGGACAGAGTTCTAAACATATATAACTTGTTTGAACAGGCACATTGCATCAGAATGTACCACAAAATCACTTTGCTGGAACTGTCGTGAACCTGGGCACACAGCCAGCAGCTGTCCAAATGAGGGAATTTGCCACACCTGTGGCAAGGCTGGACATCGTGCTAGGGACTGCACAGCTCCACCAATGCCCCCTGGCGATTTGAGATTATGCAATAACTGCTATAAGCAAGGCCATATTGCAGCTGACTGTACGAATGAGAAGGCATGCAACAACTGTAGGAGGCCAGGTCACCTGGCACGCGATTGCACAAATGATCCCATCTGTAACTTGTGCAATGTAGCTGGGCACGTGGCTAGACAGTGCCCCAAAGCAAACATTCTAGGAGATCGGGGTGGCATTCGAGGTGCTGGTAGTGGATATCGAGACCACCGAGACATTGTATGCCGAAACTGTCATCAGCTCGGACATATGAGCAGGGAGTGCATGGGTCCCCTAATGATCTGCCACAACTGTGGTGGACGAGGACACATGGCATTTGAATGTCCTTCTGGGAGGTACATGGACCGATATCCACGAAGGTACTGAAGTGTAATAATTTGTCTCGGTGGTAACTCCTCTTTGTATTCTGTTTTACTCAGACATAACATAAGTTGCTTATTATTTTTTTTTTTTCCCACAGACGTTAGTTGCTTATACGGCTTTTAGACAGATAGATGATCTGAAACTTGATAGTCTTTTGTATTTTCATTTAAGACTCCAGGTCGAGGTGGGGGTGTTAGCTTGCTAATTTTGTTGTTGAGCATTAATTATTCTAGTACGACTTAGTTATTAGTATGTGTCGCCGGGCGTAAATTTGTAATAAAATTTGCTATTATTGGCTAAGTCTCGCTTGTTTCACCGTCTGGGTGCCGTGAGTCCCATCATTTCCTGCACAATTTCACTCGGGATTTTTCACCTTTTTAGCGTTAATTGGCATTGAAAATTTAAGAGTTGTTCTCTATTTGATCAATTAATTAATTAAAATATAATCAATCAAGTGGTTTTGTAGTAGAATTGCATTTGTTAGTGGGTGATTAAGAAGACGATGCTCTCTTAACTCTTTGAATGTTGCTGAAAAGGGTGATTTTGATTCGATCCAACAGTTATTCTTTAAAGTTTAACAGCTGAATATTAAGTGGCTAAAAAGTACATGTAATCAAAAACAAAAATAGTCTCTAAGGCTATAAATCTTTAACACATTGAGAGAACAAACTAGCTCTCGGTCTCTCGACCATCTTGTCCATAGAGCTTTTCATGCAACAGCTTAGTAGACGTAGCCCTTGACGAACATTCCTTTCTTTGCCTCCTCTGACTCTCCCTCACCAGTGTATTTGCCAAGCTGAGCAAGTGAGTTGGCCTTGGCACGAACAAGCAGTGTCTCCTGAGCAGCCTTAACATTCTCAGGTCTGCCTCCCCA